AAGTGAAAACAAACTGTTCATAGTCTCCCGATTACAGGAGAAACAACAGAAAAAGGTGCGAGATACTAACTTAACAAACCATAACAACTGACACAACTGCGAATAATAATAATAATTATAATAATAATAATAATGTTTTTAACATAAACACTCTCGCATTTATATGAATTACAATGTTGTTACATTAAATTTTAAACCGGAAATAATTTCAAAAATAGAATTTATTCATACGTAATCATAATTAAACTATGTAATGTGTACATTCGAGGGAGATGTTTGGAAAGTGGTCCCCCTCTTGGTATCTTTCGGTATGTATTCACACAAAGTTCAATTTGTCTTCCATCTAAGCTGGGTAGTTTTAGATATTTGGAGAGCTTCTCTGTTTGGAAATGCAGGTACGATGATCTTGAAGCGTGTTTCTGAATACGTCCTACCCTTTCAGAGAGGTAAGAGAGAAGGGCGTGGTGCCACTCAACGCAAAAATATTCAAGTGTAGATCGTATCAAGGGTGTATAAATTATAACTGAGTCTTAAACCTCAACACCTGCTCTGCTCAATACACGGAGTATGTGGAGACGTTTAAAGGCTTTGGTAACAGTAGCATCAATATGGTTGTTCCACTTTAAGTTATTCTGGATCACCAGTCCAAGTACTTTATGAGAGGCAACAAGTCCTAGTGGTTGATCTTCGATCTTTAATAGTGCGAGTTCTGTAGCTTCCTTTCCTTTGTCGTAGACAAGGTGGATTCTAACGGTGTCTCCCTAAACAATTTAATTGCTAATGCGCTTGCATTTAAACACACACAAAAAAAGAAATCGTTTCTTTTTTTCTCTACCTAAAGTTTGGGTAGGGAAACAATCGTCTGAGAAACGGGAAGTAAGGAGTAGGTACTGCAAAACCCTTTGCAAGTGACGAGCTGGAATATTTTCAGGAAGCCCAAGAAAGAGTTGTTGTACTCCAAAAAGAGTTTCAATAAGTCTCAAATAAGCTGACATCCCTAATAAACCTGAAAAGGAAGTTTCCATCTCGCATCAGGAAAGTTGGATCGGCAATTGCGCAGAAAAAGGAGAAAAAAATTGAGGAGGAGCTTTTACAACAGAGGGCATACGCCCACGCTCCTTTAAATCGTGACGATGGTGGTTTGCTTCCTGACGCCTACTTACACCTCGTCAGAAAAAAAGGCCACTAATTAGTGATCATATAAAAGGAATTCTTGTTGCAGCGTTTAGATCACCCCTGATGAAGGCACTAGACAGGTGCGTCGAAACGTTGGGTCTATGAATTGTAACTTCTTCGGTTACATTCATTAAATCTGCAAACCAGAGTAGCATCAAACTATGTCTGTTGGTCAGGCGTCTTCATCTCTACCCGCTACTATGACTGCTGGAAAAGTCGTTTTTAATACAAACATCACCGTTAAAATGCAGGTAATTGTAGCCAGTTTTAACGAAAAAAGGAACTGAAGAGTCAGGCTCGGACAAAAACTCATACATCAGACGAGGAGGCTATCCAAGGGTTAGCAGAGTGGGAAATCTAAGAGTCATTGGAGGATGAAGTTCAAAAGTCGGTAGATGGAGGCGTCACTCTAAACTAAACACTTGTTGATATTTGTATACATCCCTTACTTCAGCTGTAGTTGTTTGTAAAGACGGTGTACCACCGCGTTTCAGTATGGAACGTTTCTATTACAGCGATTCCTCTCAGTGACTCCAGAGAATTTAAAACATGGAACTTCGTGGATATTTAAACTACGGAACTAAAATATTTTCAAACATCACATTCAATATGTAAGCAAACCTATTGATTATTGAATTACTAATTACTACTATTACTAGTATTAGATTGTGTCTGAATAAGAATCAAAGCTAAAAAAAATTGTTCCTACCGCTTTAAATATATTTCTTCTTCTTTTCATGGGTCTGTGAACCAGATAGCAACCCATCTTCCAAATGCATCAACTCCAGATCATTGATAGTGACGTACAAGACGCCTAATAGGTTTTAGCCGCAAGGGCCGTCACTAAAGTAACAATTCATCACCGGAGAGAACTGATAATGCCCGAGATATTAATGTAACAATTCATTCCAGGAGAAAACTAAGAGATACTAACGTGACAATCCATTTCAGGAGAAAACAACTGAGATTGTGCGAGATACTAACGTCACAAACCCTTACAGCAGAAAACTGAGAATGTGCGAGATACTAACGTCACTAAAGTAACATTCCATTACAGGAGAAAACTGAGAGCGTGCGAGATACTAATAATGAAAAAGTCCATTACGAAAATTGAGAAAAATGACAATGCGCGAGATACTATAACGACAATCCATTGCAGGAATAAGCAACTGAAAAATGGGCGAGGGACTAACATAACTGTCCCTTTCATGAGAAAACTGAGAGTGCGCGAGAAACTAACGCAGCAATTGAGTTCGGGAGAAAATTAAAAAATGCGCGAGGTGCCAACGTAACAGTCCATTAATTATAATAACTGAACTGAGTGGAGTGCAATTTGTATAGGTAATCACATGATTTCGAGTGCAATTTGGAATAAATAAGCATGGGTAAATTTTTTTGAAGACTAAGAAAATTGCACGAGCCCATAGGGCGAGTGCAATTTGTGGTCTTTGAAAATATTAACAAGTGCTTCAAATTACGCGAGAAAAATTTTGTGATTACGTGTTAATAATATACATGGAAAAATACGAGATGGCTTATCATAATTATGCACCAGTCAATGTAAACTCCTGCACCCCCCCGGCCGGGACATAGCGGGGCATTTGACAAGCGCTCACTTCTAAAGTTGCAAAATGCCCCGCACCCTAAGGCCAGGTTTTTCCTCTAATTGAAGCTAACGACCCCGCTCACATCCCCCGCTCTTGTTGAGTGGAAGACATAGGCTAATGTAAATGGTTTAAACTTTATTTGTCAAGTAACACACGTCGCCGCATACAATGCTTTTCAAATGGTATAAAATGTTTGTGGTGTCTTTATAGTCTACTGTTAACACGCGCGAGATCAAAACGCAGCAATCCATTGCAGGAGAAAATAAGAGAAAAATGGAAAGATACTGACGTAACAATCCATTTGAGGAGAAAGCTGGCAATGCGCGTGATTCTAATAAAACAGTGTCACATTAATGAAACGGTCACAGGAGAAAACTAAGAATGTGCAAGATACTAACACAACAATCTACTGCAGGAACACGCCCGAGATACTCAGGGAGCAACCGATTATGGGATGAAACTGCGAATGCGTGAGAAATTTAAGTAAGGAGAAAACTGAGAATGCACAGGATACTACTACTAACGTAACAATTGAATACACAAGGAAAATGAGAATGCGCGAGATCCAAATGAAACAATTTAATGTAAGAGGAAACTAGCAATACGCAAAATACTAACTTAATAATCGGAAACACGAGGAACCTGAGAATGCACGAGATAAAAACCTAACAATCAAATTAACTCTTTAACTCCCAAGATCTGATTGTTAATTCTCCCCTCCAGCTACTACACATTTCCTTGTAAATTAACTATGAGAATTTGGTGTCAGATCGAGAAAACAACTTCTACCTGATAAGTTTGAATATTCTCATTACCTGTTTGCTGGGTAATGTGTGAGAATATTATAGGGAGAAGTATGTAATTTCCATAAATAAGCTTAAATGTCTCCACCTTCATAACTTCCTACATAGTAAATATTGACCTCTAACCTTTTCGAAAATTCAAAAGTCTCTACTTAAAAAGGTAAACTTGTTCAGGCAAATGTTATTTTTTATCGCAGTCTCAACTCTTTCTTCAGGAGCAAACTGCTCAAATGGCTTCGCGAACGATTTGCCATGTTAGCAAACAAAGCTGCTGCACAGACATATGCATATAAATGGGCACTGAAGACATGTGATTGGGACAGTACATCAGTTGAAACAAGGGTTATTTCTTATAAAATTTTCAGCTGACATGTTCATGTTGGATGTAAGTGAAGATCAAATTTAGTATAGTAGAAAAACCCAGAAAAGCAATAATTTTTTTTCGACACGTTAGTACCATTCTTGTGGAACTCCGGTTGGAACAAAGTTAATTGCCCTTGACAAATGTCTTGAAGATTCTCCTACTGTATTTCACTTTGTAAACTTATGAGCTTTCTGCCACAGATTAGGTGATATATTTGCAGGCACCAAAATGTGTTATAAATGAAACCAAATGAACCAGCTATCTTTTGCTGACAGAAATTGTTTGATGAGGAATGGAAACGGAACATGTGTGAAGCATGTGTGAAAAGCAGCATACATGGAAATAAAGGGATATCACATTGTTAAATATTGCAACATAAGGAAAGCAAATAGTAAAATTTGTCAGATTAACAGAATTTTAAAAGGTCTGCACTTACACCATCTGGCTGCAAGTTTATCCCAGTTTCTGTAGCACAAAGTTACAATCCCAGTGGATGGGAATCAAGTCCATTGCAGGTTATGCCTCCCTTCCCCCTCCCCCCCAGTATTTTGTCAGGCTAACTTAACAATTCACCAGTTCCCATTTGTACTCCTGGGTGAAGAGAAGCACTGTGAGAGTAAAGTGTTTGGGAAAAATACACAACACAATAACCCAGCAAGGTCTTGAACACAAACTTCTAAAAACATAATGAATAAATGGGGTTAGTTTCTAAAGAAACTGTGGTGCTGCATTGGTGGAAGAGTATAACAGGTAATTTGGTGTTAACAACTGAGTTGAAAATGTAAATTGGCCACCATAAAGAGTTAAAAGGCTGACATTTTAAGCATTAGCCCTTCTTCAGAGCAATAAAAAACATAGTTAAGTGCACTAACATTGTGCCATAATGTCTTCCACATGGGCAACTGCTTTGTTCCAGTTCAATGATTATTTTGTAGAGTATGAAGTATGCATGTGTTGCCTTAAACCCTTCAGTAGGAAATGAGTACAATCATGGCAGATTCAAAATGCACTTCCACTAACTAACTTACAGTTCATGAGACTAAGAAGAGATAATTTCAAAGCAAAGCCATATTTTATTGAATCAGTACAGAAAAATCACAGCCAAAAGCTGGTCATAAGTACATTCTCAAACATCATGACAGCAAATACTACTAAAAGCACTTAAGCAACTAACTTACAGTTTATGAGACTGAAAAAAACATTACTTTTCAGCTCAGCCATGGTTAATAGAAAAATCAGTACAGAAAAATCACAGCCAAAAGCTGGTCATCAGTACATTCTCTAACATCATGGCAGCAAATACTACTAAAAGCACTTAAGCAACTAACTTACAGTTTGCAAGACTGAAAAAAACATTACTTTTCAGTTCAGCCATACTTAATAGAAAAATCAGTACAGAAAAATCACAGCCAAAAGCTGGTCATAAGTACATTCTCTAAAAATCATAGCAGCAAATACTACTAAAATCACTTCTGCCACTAACCTACAGCTCGAACACAAATAAAGCATTTTAAACAACTAAATAATAAGACTAAGTAAATATTTCTTGCAGCGAAGCCATCTAAGATGCACTTTGTTAATCTGAAGAAAATAAAAAGGAAAGAATATTAATTGAACTTGCATAGACCCCAACCTTGTATAAAAATGTGGTGTTACAAAAATGAAGCCAACTAAGAACAGGAGTTCTTTGCAGGAGTATCCCCAAAATAAGTGCCCATCCCCTAGGCCATAATATCAAATAAGCACCCCTCTAGAGAAAGCCCCTCCTCCTCTCTCACTTTCTTAAATAGTAGGGATACAAGGAAAACCCAATTCTATCACCAAATTATTTACAACTTTTAAGATTAAATTACAGTGGAACCAATAAAGGGGAATGATCCATTTTACAGTTGCGTGCTTGGTTGCCGAGCCTTTTGACAGGAGTGAGGCTAAGGGTGACCTTGTTATGATACAAACCTTGCTGCTTTTCAAATGTAAATTGCCTTGTTGTTATGCTAACTAGGTACTGGTCTCTATTACAGGAAGGTCTCCTTCAGCCTCACTCTAAATCAAAGGCTTAGCAACTAAGTACATAACTGTAAAATGGCCTATTAGTTTCTTTTCGGTGCCAGTTATTTCTATCCAAATGTGCTTGCAGAATTCCTTTATGTGCAATATCTATTCTTTTAATTTTTTCCTATTACCTCACTCAATTAATAAGCACCCCCTTGATTAAGCACTTGCTTTGCAATAAGTGTCCCTCCTTTTTGCTAAAATTTTAAACAGGCCACCCTATCACTTATTTGAAGAAATAGAATATTTGTTTCATTTCAGAAAGGCATATTTATATATTTTGGTAACCCATGAAACTGCTTCTCTCACATTTATTTTGGTACAATATTTTATTCTGTCACAAATGCAGTTTCTCTTTAAGCTTCTGTGATTTAACTGCCCAATCCAACATGTTTAGGCTTTTTTTCTTAGCCTAGGAGTACCTTTGTGAGTTCAACCAAATTATTTGGTCATGACATGGTGTAGAGAGAATCCAAGCATAATTTAAAATATGCATACACTCTAAACAATTAAAAAAGCAGTACTTGTAATACAGTTACAAGCAACAGCTGCCATCAAAATTTTCTCTGAATCAATTTAATCACCAGACTAAGAGCACAATCAGACACCACAAATGAGAGAGAGATTGCATAACATTTGTAAATCACAAATTGCATGTAAGTGCTGGTGAACACAATGCACAAAGAGGGTATAAGATACAACAAAAGAAGATCTACCATAAGAGTATGTGTTACTGCACTTGTTGAGAGGAAGCTCTGATTTTGAAAATGGCCGGGTGTTAAATCAGCCATATCTATTGGCAATAGTCACCTACAAACCTGTCTTATTGCAAATGGAAAATAAAGAAAGGTGTTGATTATGTGAGCTACACACCATGTTTTTTTTAGTCGGTCTTTTTCCTTTTTTTAGGTTGAGGATCTGGTTCAGGTGGAATTTTCCTTTCCTTGATATCCAGCACGTATAAGGCAAACCTCAATGCCTCTTTAGCTTTGCCCAAAAATTCCAAGGCTTCCTGAGAGTTAGGGTAGAGTTCTCCCCTGACAATTCTCTCCTGTTAAAAGGTAAAAAATTAAAATTACTGGAAATCAGTGTTTCAATGCAATGAAAACCAAATGGATTGGTCTGGGTACCAAACTTTGCTCAGTTTACCGAGTTATTTTCTTGCATTGTGGTGCATCTTTTCACTCAGATACTGATACCTTTGTCTTACCAATTTAGCTACAAAATCTTTCTTTAATGAAAAATAACTGAGGAGAAATTGAGAACTCAAACATCCTGCTTCTCCCTTGACTTAAGAGTATCATAGCTTAGATATATGAGATTACTTCATCATAGAAGGGCATGTAGTTATTTCTCAGTTACGATTTTGTGGAATTCTAAGAGCTTGAATTTCGAAAAATAAGCTTCTTCCGAATGGTAAGCGCGGAAGCGAATCGATGAAGTAAGCAAAGGACACGCAATAAATCCACATGTCAAGAAGGCGTTCGACTGAGTAGTTTAATTAGGCTAGTTTAATGTACCTTTAGTTTCTGATGTAAAGTAAATCTCGTAAATTTTCCAAATAACTTTATGAAGCATCTATGAAATTAAATTTATAAGACAAATTTCAACGCGTTCACAAAACAGTACCTCAGCTTCCCTGAGTTCTTGCAAGATGTCACGGCTGAGTTCGTCAGGACCGTCAGGTTTATCCATGGCTGAAAATTCACAGCAAAACATGCATTTTAACACAATAAGTTTCTTTGAGTACCCTGGAACATACATGGAGCAAGAGAATCGAAGAAATCGATATCTTATGTTTCTTTGATAGGAGCATCCCAGATCGTTATGCATGAATGTGCTCAACGTTTTTCAGTGGGACTTGCACGCGACCATGTCTTTAAACTTTTGAACTGTCTGGGTTTTTTAAACAGGTTTCTTGCACCCATTTTATCACTTCGAACGCCCAAAACGTAAAAGAAACTGAACAGACTTTCTACAGCCATCACGTTGGCCTGTATCTATTTTTATTATTTCTGTCGCCCGCTTGAATTTTTCCAATTTTGGAACGCCACTCTGAGCTGTGGATGTTTGTACATTTCAGCCAAAGATGTTTTTACAATTAACACCTAATCATATTACATTCTCTTGACACGCGAGGATAAGTATGCACTTAGCAAAGTACTACTAGGGAAGCTGAAATGTCCATCGGGTAGAAAAATTATAATTCTTTACAGGCTGACGTTTTAATTAACCAAGACTCGAATCCCGCACGTGCAGACTAAGAAGTGTGTCAAAGCGTTTCGTTCGATAATTTCCCTTGCCGCAAACGCCCACGGAGGCTTTTTTGACTTGGACTTTCGACGTTAAGCGAAAAGTGCCAACCAAACCTTCACAAGCAAAAGACAAAAACATAAAAAATGTCTGCTTACCTTTAGACTTGTACATGAACGAAGCAAAACTTGAACTTTGGTCAATGTCATGTGAGCGTTCGATGTTTGGAGGAGAGCCTGGGGAAAAGTGATTTCGTAATAGAGTTTTCTCTACGGTGGCTTTGGATCGATCCTTTCTTTCATCATTACTTCACAAAACTATCTCCGTTAGTCAAGATCAACTTTGCGGTAATAGTCGGTTATTCATCGGCTAAGCTTGGGTCCCAATCCGGTGCAATCTAACACTGAGAACAGAAGCCATAATCCTCAAGTAAAGTAAGTATCTCTTTCAAACCCTGTTGATAAACGAAAGTGGAAGGTCATCACTTGATACATAGAAGAACGAGTCAGGTTCACTGTGATCGCAACCAAGAGTGCACTGCGAATCACGACTAACATATTTTAAGAACCGAAACAACTTGACAGGCTGATGAGTAAAAAGTTTGCTTAAGTGAACAAAGAGAAAATAAACTGAATACATCTGCATTAGTTATAACTGAAAAGAAGGCGACCAAACGATGCCTCTAGTTTTTAACGTGGTTTTATTCTTCTATTGATGCTACAGTGGAGGTGCTTATGCATCGTCCTTCTCAGTTGATCCGCGGTCGATGGTTTTGTCCTTTATTAACACATGAGAGTGTTACAACGGATATGAAGCAGTCAATTACACAGTACTCACCGTCTGAATGAAATGGCACTAGGATTAGGCTGGAGCTAGTTACGTCCTTTCTTTCCTCACGGTTACTAAGTCTTAAAAGTTAAGCCTATCGATCTTCATTTCTTTCAAATTTTCAAAGCCGCAGTTTATTTCAACGTAACACCTCTAAAGCTCTCCCATTAGAACAATAGATGCCGCGGCCACGTGCTTCTGAAATTCCAAAGTCCACTCTTCCTTGCTCCTCTTTTCCTTCTTTCTGAGGCTATTTAATGAGTTATTTCAAAAGCAAGAAATCACTGACAGTTTTTCCAATATAGTTTGGCTATCTTCCACACGCATACAGCTTTCGATGTACATACGTGATCTGAGTAAGGTAATTTCAAGTTCTCAACACTTCGGTTGGCAAGGGCTTTAAAGACCATTACAACTCAGTGCCAATGGATTGAGGATTAAGAATTTCCTTCCAAGTCCTTATTGGGAAGTAAAGCTTCGACTGATGTCTAAACTTACCTGAAAACATTCAACAAATCCGAACAGATAAAAATCCATTTGTCCATCTTTGAATACATGTTACTTTATGACGACCTCAGCTCTGTGGACTTTGGGTAACCTAAGAGAGCATCATGAGATGAGCCACGGTCACATGATTGTCGGTGATGTCACTCAGTTGCTCAAGAAGCATGACAAGTTCTATCGCTGAAATATTATCAGGTTTCATTACTTTACTCAGGGAAACATGACACTATGATCAGAAGTTTATCGATCGTTTGCTGTTGAATGCCAATCTTGACAAACACAGACGTAGACACGGAAAACCTGAAAGAGAGCGTCTGAAACAAACAATTGTGATTAGAGATTGAAACCAGACAAGAATCGTGGTCCATTTACGCACTATACAAGGTGAAGGGATGAGATTAGATACAAGCAGTATCATTCAACCAAACTGAGTGAAATTTCTAGAATGGAACTCAATGTTCTAGTTGATAAAACCTTAACTTGCGCGGGTGACGGTTCGGTGTGCACAGAGGCGATGAACCGCGAAGTCGCGAGAGGCTTGGGCTGGAAAATAGTTTTCTTCTCACGGAGCTTCGCCGCACACAAAATCGTAAAACGCTATAAGAAGCCTCGCCCTGGGTGGAATTTTGATTCAGTGGACATTCCGCAAAAAATGACCCACCTTAGCTGAATTGGGGGCTGAAAAGTTCTAGTAGAAAACGTCTTTAATTTTATTTTGTAAACTTTACAAATCTTTTCCTGATTTTCATATTCTTGTAATCCTATATCTTTTTGACCGGTGTGGTGTTTTTCTTTAACAGTTTCAATACCATTCGGTTTTTTCAATTTTTTGCAATCTTTACTTTTTCTTGACGTCAAGTCTTTGCGTGGAACAGCAGCAGCATGGAAGTTATCATACATTTTAAAATGTACAGAGAAATGCGCGCGCCGTGATTGGTCAGAACTAGTTCATTGTATTTCCACAAACCACGCGCCTTACGTCACACGAGTGCACTGTTGAGATATAATGCACGCAGCCCACGTCATCGGTACGAGCGCGCGCAATTCAAGATTCATTTTATAAAAGAAATAAAAAAACTTGTTCCTCGAGCATTGTTGAGTTACATAAGCACTTAGGAATTTTGAAGAACACTCGAGAAGTGCGCGTTCTTATATAACTCAATAGTGCACTGGGCGCGTTTTATATTTCTTTAATATTTCTAGTTATTCACCCACGAGTAGTTGAGGTTAGCTATTGAAATTCATTGCTGTAGAAGTTTCCCTCGACTTCCTCCATTTCCTACCATTGAATACTTGTTTTTCTTTCCCTTTTTGTGCTGAGGGGTTAGTCTAGAAACACAATGTTTTAACCAACCCAAATACTGCAATCTGAACGGCTAAGCAACTCGCTATCTATTCCACAACAGGCAGTGAGTGGGATGAGTGGACCCACGGTTGGTGATTATAAACAAAAACAACGGCACAGAAACACGAGCCGGTCTGTCATGGTGTAAAGTTTTGAATGACGAGTAGATTTACCAGATTATACACTCCAGATTCAGTGTGTATGATAGTCGATTCAGACTTCAACTTTCACGCGATAAAAATTTCGAGTTCATAGACCTATTGCTGAGTAACAATCGAACACAGGAAATACTAAAAACGTACGAGGTACTAAACAATCGATCCCACGACGAAACTGGTGATGCGTGAGATACTACCCTGCAAATGTCATTGTGCGTTCGGTCAAGACAACCTTTTTAAATTAGAACAATATTATTAAATTGTTTTTTGTTTTTCGTGTTTTCAAGATTTTAAGCCGCCGAAAAAGTTTGGCAATTTAATTTGCACCACATTAACTATAATGTGCGCTGTTTTACCTCTCTTGTGCATTGTATTACATGAACACTGCATTTCTCTCCGCTCATCAGAATGAAGAAATGTTTTTATGTATAATATTATAAGAGGGAGCTGAGGGTGGGGGAGACACTTTGAAAGTAGCTTACAGAATAGAACACTGAGAATGCGCGAGATACGAACGTAACAATGGAATACAGCAGAAAAAAGAATGCGCGAGATACTACTAACGTAACAGTAGAATGCAACAGAAAACTAAGAATGCGCGAGATACGTAACAATCCATCACAGGCAAAAACCTATAATTTGCGAGATATTGACGTAAAGATCCATCACATGAGAAAGCTAGGAGTGCGCAAGGTACTAACCCTTTAACTCCCAGATCAAATTTGCAATTCTCCTAAATGTCAACCATACAATTCTTATAATGTTAGTTCAGAGAAATTAGTATTGGATCAACTTATTATCCCCAAATTGATATTTTGCTATATTCTTATCACTTATCTGGTTGACATTGTATTGATATTGTAAGAAGAAATTCTGTCTTGGTCACTCGTGGGAGTTAAAGGGCTAAAGTAACAATCGATTACAGGAGAAAACTGAAAATGTGCTTGAGGATCTGTTACGTATTATTAACATGACAATGCCAGAGCACAAGAGAGAACAGCGATCTTTTACACTGTTGTATAAATGTGTTAATAACAACGGTCCTAGGTACATTAAGGAGTTTTTTTAGCGTTAGAGAAACGCAATACCAATCTTAGAGGTAATGGTATTAATTTATGTACGCTAAATTAAACCTCAACTATATGAAAAGTCATTTACTTACATCAGTACGAAGCTTTGTACCAGTCTAGTCTGCCTTCAAGTGTGAAACAGGCCATCTGTTGCCCATTCAAAAGCCTGGTCTTCACTAGCGACACAAGCCCAAGCGTAAGCACAAATACAAGCATAACTCTCATTTCACCGTAAAAAATGGCCTCGACGCAAGCATAGACACAAGCGCAAGCACAAGGATTGAATTATTTTTTCTTGTGCTAGTGCTCGTGCTTTTCGTCGTTCGTTTTTACGTGGCATATAAACTTTATGCTTGCGTTTGTGCTTTTGTCTGTGCTTGCGTCGCTAGCGAAAACCAGGCTTAAGAGTAGACTTAGAACATTAGACTTTAAATTTTTTGCTTTCCTAACTCCACCATTATTTTATCAGATTTTAAATTTCACTGTATATATTTGATTTTTAGTGTTGATATTTAGTTGATAGTTAATTAGTTACAATGTATCAGATTATGGTAAATTTTTAAGCTTTGTATTTTCAACTCTGTAAATTACGTGAATCTTTATATTTTAGGAATATAGGCGTACGTATTTTGAACGAGCTTGTATACAGCACCTAGACGTTACGTGTCTAAATAAAGTGTTGTTTTTATTGTATTGTTGATTGTTGTTGTATGTGCGAGATACGAACGTAACAATTGAATGAAGAGAAAAATGAGAATACGCGAGATGCTAATGTAACAACGGAATACAGGAGAAAAATGAGAACGCGCGAGATAACGTAACAATGGATTAGTGGAGAGAACTGAGAATGTACGCGATACTGACGTAACACGCGATACTGACGTAACACGCGATACTGATGTAACACGCGATACTGACGTAACAATGGGAATACAAATGAAAACTGAGAATACGCGAGATACTAACGTAATAACTGAATACAGAAGTAAACTGAGAATGTACGAGATAGTGACCTAACAATCGCTCACATGAAGAATATATTAAACAATAATTGTAAGTGTTTCAAACTTGTTTCAAAAATATCTATTTATCAGTTAATTTCCTATTTTCGTAGTCAGTGTTTCCTCGGATGCCATTTATCGATAAAAATCAATTTGAATTTTTATTCATAATATTATCATTACATGTTCAAGAACTCAAAAGGAAATGCCTTTCCCCGTCCCTGTAGTCTTTCCAAGGGCATGCAGTAGAGAGACTACTTAAGTTGATCGAGTACCGCCTTTGGACACAGTTTCGTTCCCAGGGGATATAGCGGCATTTCTGAAAACCGAGAAGTTCCTGGGACCAAAGCTTCGTTGCACGCGAAGGATAAGATGTCGGAAAACTTTGAAAGTTTTCCCTCGTTTTACCAGAGCATGTTCTATATTTCTGGCGTTTTAAAGATCTTTCTTGTCATTTTTCCGACGTAAGCTCACTTTTCTTGAAGGCTCGAGGCAGGATAAGATGCAGAAGTGTACAGAGACTTGGATTATAGGAAGTCTTGTTTACTTCTCACATGGTAAGACTTACACACTACTTCAAAGAAAAATTGAAGCTCAGCTGCAAGTTTAAGGCTACATAGGTGTTCATTGAGCTCTAAAGGGGTTCTTCTACATTTACGGATGCATAAAAGCTATGATTTATTTCTTTGTTATGAATTGTGATAAAGAAATATTATAGACTTGCAAACTCTACATCTTCGATTCGAAAATTAATATATAAGCAGGCAAAAGTAAAAACTTTAATTGACAATTCATTTTTAGACATGCAGTAGAATTACAAAACTGGTTTCATCCATCTAAGGCTACATGAATTACAACTGACAGGTTAAGGTGCTTCCTGGAAATTCCCTTTCCCCCATGGATGGTTTTTTGTGTAATCCCCAGCCCCCTGGAACTTCCATAAATATATACTTAATAAGTGATCTCTGCCCTCATAATTTTCAACGGAGTAATTATGGACCCCCGACCTCTTTGGAGATTCAAAACAGTCTGTTATTTAAAGGTCAGTAAACTCATTCAGGTGATTTTTTATCACTTAACTCTTTCCTCAGCTCCTTAAGAAAAGCTTTCCAGGGACAAGCATCAATATTGAGAGTAAAAAATAGCGTAAAAGAAACAAAGCATCATAAAAAAAAATTTTGTTTGAGGTAAACTTATGAACATGATATGATCACTGAGTAAAAATTATCAGCTTCTGGATAATTTTAGGTCTTTTCCCTGAAGATTTCCAAAACATTTGAGTTTACTAAGGAGGTCAATTCAGATTTTGTCTCCTTGGCATGGAGTATAACTGATTGTTTATCATCAAGTTCCTATCTGCCAGGGGCAGTAATATTTTTTGAAACCTGATGGAATGACCCACTGACTGATTGATTGACTGACAGACTGATTGATTGACAAACCAACTGATTGAGTGATTGACCAACTAATTGACTCCCTTCCAGAATATGGTGTCTGACGACAACAGAAAGAAGAGGGTTTTTTGTGCGACAGACTGTAGCAAAAAATAGTAGCTCCCTACATTTCTTCAAGGATATCTTCAGGGAAAAGAGTTGAATTATCCATTGGCTGATAATTTTACTCGATAATCATATTATGTTCATATCACTTTACATTAAACTATCTAGTAGAATTCTCAAAATTGTTCTCAAAAACTTAGTGGAAGTGCATCATTGTTTATATTCATTCAGGAGCAAACAAAGCTAAAATGATGATAAAAAGGAAACAGACAGAAGGTTGATGTTTTTGATCCTCTAGGAGGAAATGGCAATGAATTATTCAGGAAGGTAAGCAAAATTATTTAAAGGCCTGTTTCTGTAATATATCGAGAAAAAGGCAAATAGGCTGGCAGATCAAGATAGATTTTGCCTAGAGATGTACAAATTTGTAGACATTTCCTCTTTGTTTCCAAATTACTCTCAAGAATTTTTAAAAAATTGCTACATATTATGCTTCAAAGGTTAAGGCTGAAGCTTCAGATTTTTCTTTTTTTAACAATTTAGTGGACTGGGTTGGGGATTTTGGATTGTATTGAGGACATGTAATTGAGATACAGATTTTAAAACAATACTATGCACAATACTACGCATATGTAAAACAAAATACAGTAAACATTGTCATTCTATTACAATTACATCTAGTGCTCCTAAAGTGATTGATTGCTCCAGTGATGAATTGAATTCATTATCACTTGCTGTTAGCATTTGGGTTTATTTATAGTGGAGTAAATTTTTTTCAGGAAAAACTTTTGCAGTACTTTTTTTTTTGCTGAAACTATTTTTTTGTGATCACGGGAAAAAACCACAAAAACTGCAAAATTAACCCTTCAACTCTCATGAGTGACTAAGACTGAATTTCTCCTTACAATTTCAATACAATATCAAGCAGACAAGTGGTGAGAATAAAGAAAAATATTGACTAGGAGATTATTAGTTGATCCAATACCAAATTCTCCAAGCTAGCATCACAAGAACTATATGGCAGACAGTAAGGAGAATTACTAATGAGATCTTGGGAGTTAAAGAGTTAAGAAACTGCAAAACTTTTGTGCCACATGGGCAAGCTGTTTTAGCATGTAGTATAATGCTGTTGCAAAAAAACTTTTGAAATGATAAATTTTTGGAATCTAGCCACACAACATATGTTGAAATTTTGAAAATATTTTTAACTTGGTGTCAATCTTCAGAGAGTTTTGTCTTCAAATCTATTAACAGATATAAGGTTATATTTCATAATTTGTTGTTAGTTGCATTTTCCTTAGTCAAATACAAGTAAAAGCCACTCAAACAAGTTTTTTTTATATAACTTGCAAGAACATTTATTTTGATTCAAAGTTTATACAACTAGAATTTGAAGTAGGATTGTTGTTGTTTTTTTTTAGGTGAAAGACTTCTAGAGAAGTAGAGCCCAATCCTGCAATAGCCACTCTGTACCTTAAGCTTCTTCCAACAAGAGCATGAGAGAATTTGGTATTATGGGAGTTAAAGGGTTAAACTGTTGTAAACCACCTTAAATCTCTTTTTGTTGTTGTTTAGGAGTACCTTATTATAGGAAATTAACAATGAACTTCTTAAATGCGGTTTTAATTGAATTGCATTCAACACCCAACACCCAACAAATCTCCTCCTTAGTTGTAATCTGTGATGCAAAATATAGGTTCTACAGAAAGAAAGGAATAGGAAATGTAGTGAGTGTGTGAAATGTTTCGGTCATTGGACTGTCTTTATACGCTGAACAGAAAGTGGACTTTATACAAGAGATGTTTGACTAAAGGTGACCCTTGAAGGAGTCAGACTGTCACCCAACAAATCTCTTCCTTAGTCTTAATCTGTGATGCAAAGACTTGGTCCCACAAAAAAGAGGAAAAGGAATTGCAGTGAGTGAGTTAAATGTTTTGGGCACTGGACTATCTTAATGCACTGAACAGAGGGTGGACTTTGTACAAGAGATGGGTGACTAAGAGCTGACCCTTAAAGAAGTCAGACTGTCACCCAAAAAATCTCTTCCTTAGTCTTAAATCTGTGATGCAAAGACTTGGTCCCATAGAAAAGAGGAAAAGGAATTGCAGTGAGTGAGTTGAATGTTTTGGCCACTGGACTGTCTTAATGCGCTGAACAGAGGGTGGACTTTGTACAAGAGATAGGTGACTAAAAGCTGAGCCACGAAGGAGTCAGAATATCACCCAACAAATCTCTTCCTTAGTCTTAATCTGTGATGCAAAGACTTGGTCCCACAAAAAAGAGGAAAAGGAAATGTATTGAGCGTGTCAAATGTTTTGGCCACTGGACTGTCTTTTTACGCTGAACAGAGAGAGGACTTTGTACAAGAGATGGTTAACTAAAGATGACCCTTAAAGGAGTCAGAATGTCACCCAACAAATCTCTTCCTTAGTCTTAATCTGTGATGCAAAGACTTGGTCTCACAAAAAAGAGGAAAAGGAATTGCAGTGAGTGAGTTAAATGTTTTGGCCACTGGACTGTCTTTATACGCTGAACAGAGAGTGGACTTTGTACAAGAGATAGGTGACTAAAAGCTGATGCTCAAAGGAGTCAGACTGTCACCCAAAAAATCCCTTCCTTAGTCTTAAATCTGTGATGCAAAGACTTGGTCCCCCCAAAGAAGAGAAAAAGGAATTGCAGTGAGTGAATTTAAATGTTTTGGCCACTGGACTGTCTTTATGCGCTGAACAGAGGGTGGACTTTGTGCAAGAGATGGGTGACTAAAAGCTGACCCAAAAAGGAGTCAGACTATCACCCAACAAATCTCCTCCTTAGTCTTAATCTGTGATGCAAAGACTAGGTTCCACAGAAAAAAAGGAAGAAGAAATGTAGCGAGTGTGTGAAATGTTTCGGCTACTGGACTGTCTTTATGCGCTGAACAAAGAGTGGACTTTATACAAGAGATGGTTGACTAAAGGTGACCCTCAAAGGAGTCAGACTGTCACCCAGCAAATCTCTTCCTTAGTCTTAATCTGTGATGCAAAGGCTTGGTCCCACAAAAAAGAGGAAAAGGAATTGCAGTGAGTGAGTTGAATTTTTCAGCCTCTGAACTGTCTCTATACGCTGAACAGAGAGTGGACTTTGTGCAAGAGATTGGTGACTAAAGGTTGATCCACAAAGGCGCAGTTAGTTTCACCAAATAAGCATATCAAAAAAGATTAGAAGATTACCCCTTTTTAAAAATTGCGTCACGCGTCAATAGTTATGGAGTTGTCAAAGATTTTCTTTTTAAAAACGTTGGTTAATTTTTTATTCTTTCATTCTTGACACAGGACCCAAGGAAGAGTCCAAATATCGTCTATATTCAAACGTCTTGAATCGTAACGGATAACTGGACGCTGATCAACTTCAGGAGATGCTAATGGTAAATACTTCGTTATTTTCAGATTGCTGCATGATCCAATTTAAGCAGAAGCAAACAACAAAAACATAATTTATTTCATTATCTCTAAGCTTCTATTTGGTTTCCTCGCTACAATTGACGGATCTTTTTAGGTACATGACAGAGCTGGTTTTTTTACACCGGCCGATCAGAATTTACTGTACAATTTACTGAATCTTTTCGCAGGGGAGCCGGTGGGGGGGGGGGGGGGAGATGGGGGACTGAAACGACAAGTACTTGAAACGCCGCAAGTTAAATTTGGACATTTTACGGCTCGAGCACAACTCTTTTACGAAATCTCCCACAACAGACATGTCACCTCGCAACTTGCTTACAGAAGAATGATTCATTTTTCTGCATGCCAGTTCCTTCTCACTGCTCAGTTGAGAGTTCAAAATAAAAAACCGAGAAAACTCAGAGACTTTAAACATTATGGGAGTATTTAGACACCTCGACGTTATATATTAGGGTAATAGGTCTTTAGATTATGGGCCAAGGAATACCTTACTGCTCTAAATAGGTTCAAAGACGATTGGTCTTTTGTAAGTCACCAATTGTTGGGAGGCGAATTATTTCCGTTTTGGACTAGTCTCCGTAACGCACCCCTCTGGTAAATACCAGCGAATCAAATCGCCGGGATGTGGTATGCGATGGCGCAATTGGCAGATTGAGTCGCCCAGTGTGGAACTGTTGGAGGAGATAAAGAGTAATCGATAGAGCTAGGGCGATTTGAAGGATGGGTCAATCTCTAAGATCGTATGTCTTCACATTCCTGTCAATCTTGTCGTTAGTGTAGTTGTTGGTCGTTAGTGTGTCAATATAGCACTTCAGTCTCTGTACTTTCAGCTTTAGTTTACTTCCAGTAACAAAGAACTTGGAGGGACCCCCCCCTTGGTTCATCATTTCCACTAGTTTCATTATAATGGACATAAATCAAGGGGCATCGTCAAGGTATTTTGAATCGTGTTTTAGCGGCGCCCAAAATTGTCTCAAATTTGTATCAAACTACAGAATTTCAATTGAGTAATTTAGATAAACACCAAACATTAAAAATTTGATGAATTGAATATAAACTTATTAGGAGCAGCAATGACAAAGAATAGAGACGACTCGAAAAGGTTTCCAAAAAAAATATGGGCTAAATTTTTCAAGAAACGGTAACTGTGTCTTGGCGCCTCTTTTAACCATAGTGTGGATATCTTGAGAAATGTACTGATTTTTTTTCCATGACGAATACTACATACAACATTACCAAAATATTCCGTTGCCACCAATGTCGTGGTTTTTTTATGATTTTGGAAGAGATTAATGGGGTTTATGATTTTATTCGAGATAGCGGCCGTCTGTCGCCAATAAACGTTGCTTTTGATGAATAAGCTACTTTTGGGAGGATCTGACTTTTCATCTCCTTTAATGTGGTTAAGAGGCAATCAATCAAACCAAGAGACACTTTTATGCTCCGCTATTAAGATAAAGAAAACTTTATTGAATACGGCTCGTTACTACAGTACAGGAAAGCATTATCATTTCAATGTAGAGTATTTTAGTTATTTACGGTTGATAGATATTCTTACGGCGTTCATGTCGAGTTCTAGCTCACTTTTTATTCACACCATTATCTTTTTTTTCCAGGTAAAACAGATTTCAAAAGAAGGACGGATAAACGTGAAAAATGACCACATCAAGGAAAAATGTCACCCTTGGAAGGAACCAAAAATTGGGGGTCGATCCGCCACCGTCCCCCACCACACCCACCTCTTATAAACAGTTTTTTAAATATTGATAAAAGTTGTCTACTTTGTGGTAACAACATCTTTTAATACGCATGTGTATTTAGACAAACATTTTCTTACACTAAACGCATGCGTTTGAAATAAATGTTATTACCACAAGGTAGGTAGCTTTTACAAACACTAAGAAAACTGTCTGTTAGAGGTGGGTGTGGTGGGGGACGGTGGACGGGGAAATTGGTCCACTTTTTGTTCCTTCAACTTTAAGACAACTGTTAGAGATAACAACGTTTGAAGATTTATTTTCTACGAAAACTGTCTCCTACTCTAATGTGGTAGTGTCAGAGTAAATGAACTCGAAGTAAATGTACACGTCCTGCTCTCCTTCTTTTATCAACTTCCTGTTCGTCTATGTTCCTTGTTATGAAACCATCTTGACGCTCTCGACACTAAAAGTAAAAGGAAAAAGCTATAGTTAGATGGCCACTTCTAGCAATGATTCAACGAACTACAAGTAATCAAAACACTTAGTAAAATCTCAAGAAAAGTAAAACCTCGAAGAAAGGGATTTTGAGTCGCCGTTTGATAAAATTACAACGGTACTTTTGTACAATTGGTGACGGGATGATCCTCAACTAGAAGGCAATAAATGTACTCTTTCTCTGAATTTTGTGTCTCTTCTTTTTCAAGTTTTTTTTTCTTTTTATCATCGGGTTATTAACGCATTCTATTAAACAATATCAGTAAAACGTCGCTCATAGAAAGCTTCCTGCGGAGTTATCAGATACAAATATGTTAAAATCGAATTCAAATTATTCATTTAAATTACTAGTTAACAATGAAAAGAAAAGAAAGCTAAAACATGTCCTTAGGGGAAAAAGTTATCAACAAGCAATTGGCTTCCTGATTGTGTGCACAGCACTTCGAGATAATTTTAGAAACGACTCTTTAATACTATAATCGTTGTATGATACTAGTCGGATTGAACACTGAAGCGAAAAGAGCAGGACCAAAAAATTTCCAACAATATCTTCAAAGCCAAACAGCAGGGGTATTTTTACTTTGTTAAGTTAATCAAGGGCAAGGATCAACCTCTCTTTGGCTGAACGCCCTAACTCACCCGCTACGATTACAGCGCGATCTGAAATGTGGATTAATTCTCAACAATTTTTCAGAGTGAATATGTTACATGGTCGAGAGTACATCGCAACATCTTAACTTGAAGGATTTGGTTTTCTTGATGCATCACTTTCTAACCTGTAATCACAACATCAACTCTATGAGCTTGAAACTTTCAATCCACGTTGACAACACTAACAATTCCTCCACGAATGCAGTCCTCAAGGGAAAATTTTTCCCCTGCAAAAAATTAATTCAAGAACAGAAAAGATTAACAAATTGGCCACATTAAGAACCTGAAGCAAACCACAGCACGAGGACGTGGGACGTGGTAAAAAAAAAAGATCTCACGAGCAGAACAAGGGCTCAGCACGTGCTTTTTAACACTTTGTACATTTCTTTATCCTCTGCAAAACAACAACGTGAAAGCACCAAACTGTGAGTGTTCTGGAAAAGAGACCCAGGTAGCAAGTTACTTAAGTTTCCACTTGGAACTAAATGACGCTCACATAAGTTATGCTGAATTTGATTTGTGGTGCTTTAAGAGACGGTAAACACGTCCAGCCATTCGCGAGATCATTTTTCAATAAACGTCTTCCTTGGTGTTGCCTTACTGAATCCTCAAGGGTCTGCAATGTTTTACCCAATAATCTCGTCAATTCATCTGTCCATCACTCCTAAAACCATATCTTAAAATTTTCCCGCCATTTTTTGTTTCATTTTCTTTATTTTCATTCACTATACTTGAGTTGGTCAATTATGTACTGGCTGATTAATTTTTAAATTGATCGTATTTTCGCACACTTAAGTTAAAACTTACCAAGTTAAGTAAAATTTGGCTATTCATTAAAATTCTCTTGTCTTCACCCAACCATTAACTGTTATAAATTTTTTAAATCATTCAGTTAAAAAGTCAGTCAGTAAGTTGGTGCATCAGACAATTAAATGGCCAGTAAGTCATTCAGATAGATGGTTAGCGAGTTGGTGAGTAAGTGAGTTGTCAGTCAGTGGGTCAGTCTGTTAGTCCGTCAATCAGTGAGTTTATTTGCCAGTCAGTCCACAGTTGGTAAATCAGCCAGTCGTTTGGTCTAAAAAAATTGGTAACTCAATCAAATGCAGACCTAGTCAATTAGTCATCTGGGCAACTTTCCAGTTGCTCAGACGGAGAGCTAATGCTTGAAACATCAGCTTTAATGGTGGCCAATTTATGTCATCAACTCAGTTGATAATACTAAATTACCCTGTTATACTCTCCAACCAACACAGCACCAGTTTCTTTAGAAACTTACCCAGCAATATTCATTTAACTTTCCAATTAGACAGTCACTGTAAGCTAGCCAGTCCAGCAGCAAGTTAAGTGATTAGTCACTCCACCATTCATCAGGCCAGTCAGTGTGTCTGTCACCCCCTTACTCAGCTAATCAGTCATCCAATCAGTCTCATGGTCATTAAGCCAGACTGCTAGTCGCTAAGTCAGTTACACTGTAAGTCAGTCAGTGGACAGTCTTACAGTCAGTCAACTGGTCAGCCATTGAGCCAGTCAGTGTGTGTCTGTCAGTCAGCAAGTCAGTCAATCAGTCAGCCAGTCAGTCTTAACGTCCCTTGCTTGGTCACCTAGTAAGTCACTCATCCAAATGGTCCACTATTCCATTGACTTGACTGTAAGTCCATCAGTCACTCAGTAAACCAGCCATCCAGTCAGTAAGTCAGTTAACCAGGTAGTAACTTGGTTGGTCAGTCAGTCCACTACTTGGTCACCAATTAGTCAGTTACTCTTTCAGTCAGCTGCTCAGTCCACAGGTCAGTCAGATAGTCTATTTTCAGGTCAGTTGATTGATCAATCGGTCAGTCCATTACTTGGTCAGTTTCTCAATAAGTAAATCAATCATTCAGTCAGTCAGCCTACTCAACCTACTTAGTGGGTCTGTCACTCACAAAGTCATTTCGCAGGTTAGTCACTCTGTCGGTAAGTCCGTCCACAAGTATCTCGGCTGGACACTAATTTACACATGTCACTCATTCAGTCAATCAAACAGTGCACACCAGTTGGTTAACTGATTAGTCAGTCCAAAAGTCAGTCCGTCAACCAACAATCCAGTAAGTGAGTCAGTCAGTCTGACAATCATACAGTGATTCATTCAGTTGTTATTCAGTCATAAAATTTGCCTCTCAGTCAGTCAGTCAGTCAGTCATTCTATCATTTGGTTCACCATAAGTCAGTCAGTTAGTCAGAATATTAGACTGGTCAATTGTAAAATGTACTATTAATATTGGTTTAGTAATGATGTCTGGACTCACCCACAATACCTCTGAGTTGAGCTTGATTGAAGTAGGGAAGACATTCCACCTGAACAACAGCCACTTTCATTTTGCTCTTAGAGAGGGTTTCTTCCAATTATTGGCTGTTTCAATATGACAAGGTGATACCTATAATATGTTTCAATATGACAAGGTGATACCTATAATATGTTTCAATATGACAAGGTGATACCTATAATATGTTTCAATATGACAAGGTGATACCTATAATATGTTTCAATATGACAAGGTGATACCTATAAAGCAAACAAACAAATATTTGGGAACCTGTAAAGGTCTTGCAACCCATCAAAGAAGAGTAGCAAAGTATAACTTCAACAGTCAGTTAGTTCATCAGAGTCAGTCAGTCAGTCAGTGATCTAGCCATTTATGAAAGCCAGTAACTCAGTCACTCAACCAGTAGCCTGTTCCAGCCATTCAGTTAGTAAATTAGAGCTAATTTAACAAATGGCACAATGTGGGACCTGACCCTAACCTTGTTCATTCATTTTATATCAAGCTAATTTCACATGGCACATCGTTTTACTGACAGAACGCCTGGAACAGGCAATCCAATCAGCTACCAGTCCAACAGTGGTCTTTAGGCCAGCCACCCAGTTAGCCAGTCTGACACAGAGACTGTCACTTATTTGGTCAGCCAATCAGTCCACAAGTCTCTTAGACAAGTCATTCAGTGTGTCTCAGTTTTACAGTCAGTCTACCAATTGGTAAACTAATCAGTCAGTCCATCAGTGAGTCAGTCAGTTATTCAGTCACCAAATCAGTTCACCAATCAGTCACTTGGTCATAGAGTCAGCCACTAACTTAGTCAGTCAACTGCTCAGTCCATCATTAGCCAGGCAGCCCCTTAGTCTACTAGTCAGTCGAGTGGAAAGTGCGTTATTCAGTCTAGCAGTCAATCAGCCAGACTAACATTCTAATAGTTGTCAGTTGGTCAGTCACTAGGTCTCACCATCACTCAATCAGACAAGTGATCAGTTGGTCATTACGACATTAAGACATTCCACCAGTCAGTTGATTTGTCAGTCAATTAGTAAGTAAGTGAATGAGTGAGTCAAGTCAGTTAGTCAGTCTGTCAGTCAGTCAGTCAGTCAGTCAGTTGGTTAGAATATCTGTCAATGCTAACTGATGGGAAGAATAGCTAAGTGGCAAACTTCTTTTAATTGATGGGGCAAACTTATCCTGGTGGGGGTGATCTTGTAGGGGGAAAACTTGCTGTGTGGTGAAACTTCCATAAACTTCATTTCATGAGTCAGTCAAACAATTGGAGAGTCAGGCATTCAGTCAGTCCAATAAAATAATTAATCAAAACTATGACAAAATTCTAGAATGTGATTGGTTATCACCAGCCTGGTTTGCGTACAAATAGTTGACCTTGTAATTGGACAGTTTACATGTCATGCCTGTGTGTCATGCATTTTGCCAAGTTAACAGCTGTTTTCTTATGAAAACATACAGCCAATGTCTAGTTTCTTTCTCAAATTCTGTCATAGGTTTAATTAATTGGTAACAGGACTTTGTGTTGTCCAGTTCTGTCACATTGTAGTTTGTAATCTGCAGAATCTATTTTTTTTCCTAGATCTGCAATTTTCTATTGTATCAATTTACTTACAACAAGTTTACAATTCACTTAAAGTTAACATTACATTTGTCTGGTCCCATGATAACTCAAGTTGATACTATTAGTCTTCTCACCTGAATAACTACATACCACTTTCTAATACACTGCTGAGGTGGTCAATTCTCTTTGTTCCTTTGTTTGTGCATTGTACTCTTTATCTCATCTAAGATAAGAAATGGAGATTAAATCATACAGATTTTCACTATAAGTCTTCTTGTGAGGGGTGAGGTGCTGTCTTGAATTACCCCTAACTTTTGCAAGAGCATCACCCCACATCAGTTTATGTAATTTTCATAGGCCTTTTGCATGCAAAGTCCCTGGTAAATTACAAATAATTGTTTGGAAAAGACCCAAGTAATGTAGATAGATTTCATGAACATTGCACCTAATCGAAAAAAAAAAAAAAAAAGCCAACATATATTTACAGTCTCAACTGCACCCTCTCCTGAGCCCCATTGGTTGGCACTCAGCCACCCTCCTGTCATAAATTCCTAGCCCAGTGGCTGAACTGTTGCAGGGTACAGTGTCAGCAGGACTGCCAAACACCAAGGAAATCCTTTAAGTTTTCACTCTGTTAATTTGTTGAAAAAAGACACTCTTACTTAAAAAATAAAGTTCCAGTTAATATTTTTTCACTCCCAAAGTTTTGAAAATATTTCACCCCTTTAGGAGTGACCACATGTCAAGTTATGACAACACTCTGATTTGTACAAATGCAGACTGCCCATAGAAGCACAGAGACATTGTGTTGAAACTATCTAGGAGTTGTGCCTGACGGATCTTACTTCAATTCTGCTCACAGGCAATTCTTATTTCACCCTGTGAGCTGCTTGAGCTTGCCAGAACTCACTGATGGTTGCTGATTGAGAGCAAGTAGCGAGGTATATGTAAACCGTAGGTCCTTATCTGTTTAAGTGACATTTTTTGGCCATTTCGCATCCAATTTCTTAAATACTTTTACAGCTAGTCTTCACTTTTACTCCTCTCTTTTTTATGTTTTCCCATTCATGGTCTTGCAAAATACACAGAGATTATAGCAGAGCTCGCAGAGTGTAGCCCCATAATTATAAAAAATAGTAGTAACCCATCTAGCTGAAAAAATTGGGATGTATGACTGTACAGCTGTAAGACTGTACGGCTGTAAGACTGTACGACCGTACAAGGTGTTACTTTTAACATGCATGGTCAACTGTATCGTGGGCACGTCAATGCCACGGCTTTGTATAGTAGTCCAGTGGTCAGTGCACTGGGCTCTGAGTTGGACAACCCGGGTTCTAGTCCTGGCCGGGTCAAGGTGTTGTGCCCTTGAGACATGCAGGGAAAAAAAAATGTGAGCTCTGCTTTTAGGCTTGGCTAAATCTATATATTAGCAAAGATCACTCCATGCAAGTGAAATCAAGAGATGTTTGTGCAACTGAAATTCAAGGACCAGGATATTTGGTAAAATTTCCATACAGCCCCATACTATTGTTAAACAAATCTGTTTTCCCAATGGCAATGTATTATTTTTGTCATTGTTTTCTCCACCCAAGAACTGAATGCATAATGTAGTATGGGGCTGTGCGGAAATTTTACCGGATATTTTGTCACCAAAAACATCTCAGGAGTCATTTGGGTTGACAACTTATAACTGGCTATTCACACTTCAGTGGACTAAAAATTCAGTTTGAAAATATATTTTTGTAAATAACTCGTGCACGTTTCGATATTTTACAAAACTTTTTCTTCGACACAGAGATTGGCCCTTATGAGGTCTACCATATCCTTAGAGCAATAACCAGTTGAGTGTGTTTTTAAATTATTCCCTTGTTAATTAAAACTTATTTTCCAAGGCCCTAATGCAATTTTTATTTATTTCAGTTTTTTGTTTATTTCTTTGTTTTCCACGTTCGTTAATATCCTCGTGAAGTTGACAGGTTCTTACACCGAGGCGGAGCCAAAACTTAACACAGTTATATGTATTCCTGCATTTCATATCGCTTAAATTCGAGAAGTAAATATATACAATTCGTTCTATAGACCTCAAAAGTGGAGAATTAAACCACGATTTCATCCACGCTTACCTGAAGCAACTCATTTGAGTGTCGGTGTAACGCATGGTTCCATTTCTGAGTTTTTCAGCTGCCGTGACATCATTTATTCCATCCAAACACCATCAAACAAGAGAAGAAATGTACTCAACGGCAAAAGATGCTCAAGGTGCCGTTTTCCGTCATCTTTTGGAGTCAAAATATTAAGTTCATTCAGTTGTACACAGTTTCGACTGCAGCCACGTCGCCATATTAAATAAAGCTCAACTAGTTCCCAGGGTTTTTCGTCTGACAAGCATGCAGCACGCGAGATTGCGCGGCAACACGCGTTTAGCGAGCAGCACACGTAGCTTTCGCTGCTTGCCATTCTGTTCTGTTTCAAGAGCCCGTCGCCTACATGCATATAAAGGCAGTGCGTGGTCTGTTTCAGGCTAGTTCCAAGACAGTAAAGCTAACGTTTGAGCAACTATCAGGGGTATTTTCAATCAAAGTTTACCTACAAGAAGGACACACCATACAACTTTCAATGTTAGGGCTCAGTATGGGGCCTCCACTTCGGGCCTTCCCTTCCCACCTCCCCCTGATCCTGGGTTCATACTTTGCAAGAAACCTAAGGGTGAGGTTTCTCCAGGACCCTGTTGTACATATCATATCAATTTTTTTTCAAGGGGAAATAAAATGAACCTGACGCATTGTCACTGAAGAAGAGTGCACTGCAACTTTGAATCATCATATTCTTTCAGTTGCCAATAAAATCCCAGATCTGGACATAATGAAATGGGATGCCTACCCTTTCAAGCATTTGATCCCTAAAAAAATTCAGCATTGCAATCCTGTCAAAGAGTCAATGCCAAAATGGGATAAAAAGGAAAACTTTACCTCCACAGGACTAAAAAAGGAACACCATGGAAAATATAAAAGCAAAACATAAACAGATGGTCCCATAAATGTTTATTTATATTGTTTAGTTAAGTTTCAATATTTTCAATTTGGGTTCCCTGCTAACTGAAGGTTAAAACAGTTCATTAACCATATCCTATGATAAATATTTGGCCGATTAAATAAGCACAATATTCTTAAAATTTCAAAAGATCTATGAATTTCTACTTTAGGCTTAATAGATAATTTTTTTGTTCTGTATAAAACATGCTAGACAACAACTTAAAAATCTCATTAAGTCTGCAACCACTTTGTAATGAGTTAAAATACCTGCAAAAAACTCCCTTAAATTCTCTTTATTAATGGTTTCTCTAATAAAATATATATGGACAAAAGTGACTTTTAACCATATAATCCCTTATGGTTTTTTGGGTCTGTTTATCATTCTTAAATTGGTGAGATCTATAAAGTTAAATAATCTGGCCTAACATACACCTTACCATCCCTTAAAAACCCTTTGGGACCTTTTTTTTTTTTTTTTTAAACCTTTGACCCCTAAGAGTGATTAGCATCTAATTTCTCCTTACAAAATCACCCCCAGATCACACAATAAGGTCATGAGGATAAAGGAAATGATCACCAACCCAAGAAGCTCTTGATTGTTGAACAAATTCTCCTTTTTGGCACTGTAGGAAATGTATAGAGAAAAGTATAGAGAATATGCATACTGATGTCAGGGGTGTAAGGGGTTTAGGAAGAAGAATGGCATCCCCTGCTTGACTTGTTTTTCAATGCAAAATTCAGTCTATTTAAAATGGAAATATGTCAATCAGTCTCCCTGATTCTGAGTGTTCCACCTTAGACATGGGAATATAGAACTAAGATGAACACCTTCCACTTCTGGATGTGATTAATACGTAATTTATCTTCCACAGATGTTATCCAGAAAATAAGTAATAAGAATTGCCAAAAATTTTAGCTTAGGACTTTTTGATTTTAGTTTACAACTGACACACACTTTTCAGTGTTTGCAAAAAAAAAAGCCAAAGTATTAACTCTAGTTACTCTGATCTAACACCAATTTCTCCCTTAATTCACAATGAAATGTATAACATCTGAAAGGGAGAGTCACAAACCAGATCAGACTTAAAGAATTAAGTCATTTATCCTGTCTTTCATTTAAAAGAAAGACACATAGCCTTTACATGACACTTTCACAGATTGCATAAGGGAATATAATATTCTTTCAGTAGTTGATAATAGAATTTCTTTGATGTTGAGTAAGAAAAAATTATTTCCTATTAATTGTCTAATAATTTCTTTTTAATACAAAATCTTATATAAGTTGGAAAAAACATTGCTTACAAATTACAATAAGTACCTGTATTTTACAGAAGTACTCAATCAGTACCAATAAAAGATAATCATTGCATGTTAATATTGTTTTTACACTTGACCATCAGCCTGTTCTTCTGATTCATTTTCTTCTTGTTGGACTAATGATTCAGCTTGTTCTGCCTGCACTGCACCATTTTCTCTTGGAGGATATACAGTACCAGATAATGGACGAAAATCAGCAGGGACCTGTTAAAGTCATAAGTTGAAACTCCATTATTCATACATACATCACAAAAAAGAGGTTTGCAAAGCTCTAAGAAGTGTTTCAAAACACTTCTTCCTTTGAGAGATTCCAGCAGGAATGATGTCAGTAAAAAGGGAGGTCTCATCTCATTTCAAAAGTGATTCAACATATGTAGACTTATTTCAATATTTAAAAGCATATATATAGTACAGTCAAAGTTTTGTTTTGGACATTAATTCTTGGGTTTATTGCCAATAAGTAACCTGTCAGTGTCCTGTTGGTTACTCATCAGTGGCCAGTCAGCCAACTGTTGGCTGACATGTGTTTTCAAGGAACTTTTCTTCACAATTACTGACAGAAACTCCTAACACAGTTACCAAAAGGAAAGATGCCACTATTCTGCCTATAAATGTCTATCCAGTGCATAGAGTGCCATTATTTTATATTAAACATAAGGGCTTCTTTTAAACATTCCAACCACTTTCCATCCATTAAGGTTCATTAACTGAACAACAAAATTATGACCACCATAAATCAACAAGAGCCAGTATTTTGGAGTAAACCTCTTAGAGTGGAGAGGAAGTTCATGGGAAGGGGGATAGGAAAAGTCTTCCTCATTCATTTTTTTTTTTTGATCACCCATCAATCCAATTATCTTGTTTTTAGATTCGGTACATCAAGTATGTTGCACCTCATGGTGCTTTGTACATGTACTTGCCCTTTCAAAAACTGAAATAACAACACTTACTTCCCAAAACTCTCCATCATCATACAATGCTTCATCCCTTAAAGGATCAAAAAATGGCTGCTTGACAATGACACCTGTAAAAAAATTACCAAGTAAATTCTTGTTTAAAATTTCACATGATAAGAGAGTCAGAGAGAGGTACATCAGCCTTAAGATTAATAGGCTGTCTGCATTGTGAAAAATGTCAAACAAGGTATGAATGTGGGAGCAATCCATATGCATGACATTACTAATTTTTTAAAATTTCTCCTGATGCTGAATATTCTGTCTGAATATGCTTGACATGGCTCCATGAGACTGATACATATACCATAAGAGAGAAATTTTACCCTGCTGCTATTGCACACAAGATAGTATCTTTCAACAAGTGAGGATTATTTCTCTCTTTTCTTCTAAGCTTGACAATGTATTGTATATAGTGAAGCTGGTTATATATACTGCTATCTACTGGTATCATAGCTGAAGGGCAACAACTAACCTGTTAGGAGTCCACCAGCTATTGCTAAAGCTAATGTAACAGCTAGTGCAGCAAACTGAAATGCTGCTTGTTTCCCTGAACTCCACCCTAGTCCATCCACAGCATCTGGGTCAAATTTCACCAACTCAAAGTACTGGGTACTATTGAAAATGGGAGCCCTTGCAGGAAATACTGTATAGAGACTGAAAATAGGCAAAACATTAAGTATGATGAAGATTGTTAGACCTGAAAAATATGAAGTAGGAACTGCAAGAGGCCAAAAAAACCTTCACTATTCTACAGATTTAGTATGAACTACTGAACTGTGGAATTAGCAACTTTATGAAAAATTCAACTTAACTTGCCTCATCCTCATAATATCAATGGTCAAAATATTTTAACTTTGGTATTCAACAGCGGTTTTACTTGTGAAGAAACCATCAAGAAACATGCAATATTGCACATGTTTCCATTGTGTATTTTCATACATATGACAATTCATTTTTATCTTTGTTAGTTTCTTATTTTCTTTTGTCATACACTCAATTCACAAATTCATGTATCTTGTACAGCTGTGCTTAAATCCCTCATGGCACTGTTAAAATGAATGCACAAACAAATATTTCTAACAGAATAATGAGTTGTTGAAACTCTAAATTCATCAATTTTGAAGGACTGGGTGCATAAAAAATACCTCTTGAAGATATTTGGTCAAATTAGTAAAAACAAAATACCATATGCAGTATTTACCACATGAAATTCAAGGCTGCTAATTTTACATCTTCCTTTAACTTGAACTATCCTGAATAAATAAAGATTTGTACATGTCATAAATGTTTATATCCAGCAATTTCCTTGTAAATCTGAGAAGAGATGAGTTTACTCAACACCTGTTTGCAGTATAATGCATGGATATTATAAGGAGAAGTTCCATGTTGATCTCTACCTTGTTTTGTACTGTTTATATCCAGCAATACTAGAAGAGATGGTTCCTGCTACAGCTCCCAAGATCCCTGGTAATCCATGCAAGCTGTTAACTCCACAAGTGTCATGAACTTTAAGCCTTCTTATGAGCCAGGGCTGAAAAACAAAATGTAGAAAAATGGATGCAAAAGTGTAAATTTGACCAGTATCAAGATGCAATAAAAGAAGAAATTAATTCATTTGTAAACTTATGTATTTGGAAACAGATCACATATCAAAGACTAAATAATAAAATTGTCTCCTTAATACCTGAGTGTATTTGAAGCTGGAGGTACTTAAAGCCCCGCTTACAAACCCTATCAGCACTGCACCCCATGGCTGAATTATCATGGGTGCAATTGTACCCACAGCCACACCCCCTGCCAGGCTGGCATTCTGGAGATGAACCTGTAAATACATGGAAGAGATGATAAAAAGCCATTACCAAAAGATCTACTTTCAAAACTAAGCTTGGGACTGAGCCTATAATTTCCCTTAACAGATAACTTTTCCTTCTCAGCAATTTCTGAGAATTTGTTGCAAGTTATGTCCACACAATATGACCAGCTGATGAATTCTGTCTGACAGAGCAATTAAGATGTAAGAGGAAATTGGATCTTGATCACTCACATGAGTCAAAGAATAAACTAAGATCCTTGTTCTCTAATTTCTAAACCCAAAGATCCCTTTTCTAATCAGTGAGCAAACAACTTGCTTGGTTCCCAAATCACAGCATCCATCCAAAAGATGTTCAAATATGCCAGTGCAGTGTGAAAGCCATCTCAAGAGACTTTTCTTGGAGTCACAGTAATCCACTTAGGATAGCAATACCATCAATGAGAGGGAATCACAATCTTGCATGTACATAGTTTTTATTCAAAATTAAAAAGAAACTAGTGTCCACAAGCTTCTGTCATGGGAAATAACAAACATTGTAATTCTGATAAAGGTCACAGTGAAATCAAGAATTCAGATTTCCAATGAACATAGATTCAGTAGGGTAAACATTTTGAATGAATAATACCAAGTACCAAATGAATTTAGATATTGGAACCATTATTTTCAGTGAATCATTTTTTTCATTAAATGTAATAAATGCAGTTGGCAAACAAAAGGAAATGTATAATACACACCATACTTAGTTTTGATCCCTTTGTCATTAGGGCTGAGAATGCACAGGAAGTAACACAGCTGGTTATGATGGCATAGTATGTATTAACAATGGCTCGTTGCCTTGCGACTCCTTCCACAAGCACAGAATTAAAGCTTGGCCAGCAAACCCATAGGACTATTGTTCCTAAAATAAAAATTAAAAGTTACACCAAACTAATTCCACACTTTCCTCCATACAATAAAAGAAAAGAGTGAAACGTCTAAATTAAAATGGATCCAGTATTAGATCTTATAAAAAATACAATTCATGTTTCCCTCAACCTTTCCAGTACAGGTCCCAAAATCCAAACTCTCTCATGAGTATACCTCTAGCTTGAAAAGTATAAAACTATTTGGGAAAGTCATTGGTTAAGTCATCAATAAGAGGAATGTTCCAGTAATATCCAGTGCTGACTTTCTCAAAATATCCTAACTCAGTACAGCAGGATAACCATTTCACTTGCAAAATCTCACTGGTAATTCTCCTTAATATCTACAATACAATTCTTATGTTATTAGTTTGGAGAATTTGATATGGGATCAATAATAATCCTCACTCTCATCATTTCGCAGCTTAATATTGTTGTATTGAAATTGTAAGGAGAAATTCTGTCATGGTCACTTATGGGAGTACAAGGGCTAAGATTTAATACATCTGTCCAATGCTGTAAGTTTGTATCATGATGTATCTCCCAAGATTTTTTCACTTACCCACTGTGGCAAAAAGATCAGATGTATATCTGGAGGTCTCTTTCTCATGAGCCACAATTTTGCTTTTATATAATATGCGTGACACAGCAAGACCATAGAAGGCACCAAATGTGTGAACATACATTGAACTACCAGCATCCACTGCATGGAAAATCTTGGTGCCTATTGCTCTATTGGCAGAGTAGAGTATCACTTCAATAAATGAAATAATTAGCAGCTGGTGATGACTTGTTTTTCCAAGTAATGCTCCAAAGGTGATTGTCACAGCCACTGCAGCAAGGTCACCCTTGATCATGCTAAACAATGAAAACCGAAGAAAAAAAAAAAAAAAAAAAAAAAGAAAGTGGTATAAAACAAAATTAAAGTATGAAGTCCTAATATTGAATAACTTCAGCAGTCAAGTGCACAAGTGTCTAAAAGATAAGAATTATGAAAACTGTCCAATGTCCACATCCATTAAAATATAACACATCACAGAAAACTGGTGTATAGTACCTAGTAATTTACTTCTTGCTGGGTATAAGTAATTCATTGACAAGAGAAATCTGGCTTGAGATGACAAATAGACCCAAAGGGTTGGTTATTAAAACATGGTCTAAACATGGGTCACAGTTTTAGAAACCTTGATTATTTTGGTGATATTTCTGCTTGATTTAAAACTGTTTTAAGCATGGTTTGGATGAATAAGGGCAAAGAGATCAGCCCCTTCACCCAGGGGGAGTGACCAAAAAAGAGCTTCTCCTCACAATATTGATACATTTTTACACAGAAAGGTAATGAGAAGAAATAAAAATGTTAACCAAGGGTTGTCATCTCATTTAACACAAAATTCTCAGAGCTAAATTTGTGAGAAGTATGGCAGACAATGTAGAGAATTGACATTCAGATCTTCAGATCAAAAGGATCAATAATTAATTAATCAACAATTAATTTTTATCACCAAAAACCTGCTTATTACCTTTCTAATCCAATTTGAATTTTGCTGTTCTTCATGTCTAAAAATCCTTGCATCATTGTAGACCACTCAATAACCAAAGCAGATATAAGAAAATTATATCCCAGGGAACTAAATCCATATTTCTTCAGAAATGTCATGAGAAGTCCAAACCCAATGAAAACCATGAAATGTAGTCCTTCAAACACTAAATAAGATATAAAAATCAGGACTTAATACATTCAGAAAATCTATCAAGAAAGATAATTGGAGGCAACACTCCAACACTGTAGATTTTCACTTCTTAATAAGAGATTTTTTAACAGAAAAAAAAATAGAAAAAGGAAACTAGAAAAAAATCGGAGAATGGACATTCAACGTTATGCTAATCACCATACAACTTTTTAATTAAAATTAAACAAAATACTGGTGTAAGAAGAAAAGAATAGAACACTACTTAAAATAAATATTTAAAAATAACATTTATCTTCAAAGGAAAAATCATAGATTATAAATGTGCCACATCATAGCCTGTAATTTTCTCCTGATAGCTCTTAATATTGGAGAGAGAAAAATTTGTTAAAGGGTGACGAAAAAAATCAAAATAAAAATTGACACATAATATAAACGTACCAGAATATTTCGCATCAGTTGTGCCGCCCTTCGAGTTTTTTGCTGCAACAGTCTCTGGAAGAAGATCATCACTATAGCCAACGAAGACTACAAATAAGATTATCAACAATCCTTGAAGGAGAAGCAGTACACCTGCAAATTTTCCGTGACCCCCTGAGCTTTGATCTGACATATTTTTCTAACAAAATTATAATTATTTAAACAATTCTCTATCGCGGTTTGCCGCTAATTTCAACAACAGCCGGTCTATACCGCCCGCTATTGGAAAGTCAGTGGAAGCACGCAACGGAAAAGGTTACGTCATGTACGTTTCACTATAATATACCAACTAATCGTCAGCCTACTGTCGCGTGACGAGCCTCTGACTGTGTCTATCTCGAATATTTTAGGCTAAACCTTCGGTGAGAATTAAACGAATACGAACGCTAAGCGATGGGGTTGGATAAAGCTTCCGTGCTCCGCGTTCGTTCCACACTCCCCTCCAATAAAAACACAAAAACAGAAAAGGCTGTCCACTTAGAACTTGATGAGAGGACAACTTACCCCTTTATCTCGCAGACATGTCGACTTGCGAAAAAAACAACTCACCGACACCTAAGGTCAACTTGCCTACGGTATTCTCTGATAAACTCGCCCAGATCTAAGTAAGACTGCAAATGCTGAAAAAGGCCCTCGGGAAGGCCTCATTATCTCTAAGGCTTTCCATTTGGAGAAGGGGGCGCCTGTTAGAGAGTGGGGCCCATAAGAAAAGGGATAAATGATAAACTGAGAGCCGAACTGCGAGTCATTCTTTTTCTGAATTGTTGGTAAGAATTTATAAATAGTACGCAGAACACGCAATTCCTTGAACAAAAATAAAATCAAATTCTTTACACGCTTGTTTGTATCTGGTTTACTTTGCTATGAATTTGGGAGTCTTAAAATGAAACATTGAAACGTCTAAGCAATTGCACCTTTTTCCCCTCTTACATTTGTCCACGAGTACACAAGCAGCCCTTCCTCTCTTATCTCTCACACCTCCATGGGCGTTTTTTCGTCTCGTCACTTATCAACTGATTCTCTTCCGTGACGAGATAAAACGCCAACTTAGGTAATCATTTCCCTGCTAGAATCTGTGGTTGTCATAATTTATTTGGAGCCCCGCCGAAAGGCAGGGCGGTAAAAAATTGGTCTATAGACTCATTCAGTTGTTCTCCTCCACGGAAATCTTTAGTAAAAGGCGAAAGATTTTTGCGTGCTGAAGGAAAACCAGAGTACTAAAGACAGTATACCGGAGGAAATCAAATTAACAGAATGAGCCATGCCATGTGGGGCAATTATCAGTCTTTCATTTACGCATGCGCATGATCATAAGGCAATTGGTGAAGGTAAAATGTCCGTTCAAAGGGCGATTCCGCTAGATTCTTTTGACTGATTGCGAGATCAGTTGCGTCAGTTATCATAGAGATCAATTTGAATGGATTCTAAAGCATACTACTCCTTTAATTAAGCGCCTCCCTCTGAAAAGCACCGCGTTCGAAGACAAAAGTATTGACAACTGTAGGTGCCCATTATAATCATGGCTCCAGATAAGTGCAACATCTAAATATGCGGCCTCTATAAGGAAAAGGCAATCAAAACAGGGGTTTAGTACAACTGTAAAATTCTAAAACAGTGACGACTGTAAATCTGCCTAAATGTCAAAGGTTTTTCGTTCGAAGTAGTCATACTTCTCTTCTCTTCAACTCCAACCAACACTTATAGCTCGAAGGGGACAACAGTATTGAAAACGGTTAAATATCCAGGAAGCCAGAGTAAAGCTCGCAAGTCTTTTTCTCCACCAAAACGAGAGAGTGAATGAAACTTTACTGACCGTCTTTACTATGTTTCGGTTTTACTGTTCAACCTTCCCTTAATAACACAGCTTGCCAGTGTCCTTTCAATTCCAACAACAAAGAAGAAGTGCTTAAGAAATATACAGACTATAATTGAGGAGAAAAAAATTCATTAGACAGTCAAAACAGGACAAATGGATAACAATGGTCACACTGTCTGCTCGTTTAACCGTTCTCTGTAAAGATACATTAAATGGGTTGTTACTTATGACTGAAAGCAGTATAGATTTTCTTGTTCATTAAAAAGCTGAATCAACTTTCTCATAAACTCCAAACAAGCTATGAAGCTGGCGATTTTTATTTAAAAAGCATGCTAAGCTGCAGTAACAATATGCACATAACCGAACACCTAAAAATTACAAGTTTAAGCTCGATTTATCTTCTATTGATCCAAAACATATTAGTCAGAGAGTCATGACGAGGTAAAAATAGCTACCACTGTTACCACCACTCTCTGGACTCTCTCTAGGCTTCGGAAGGAGTGAGCGGTGGAATATACAAAAACAAAATGCACTGAAGACCAATTGACGGGCTGAGTGATCAGATTAAAATAAACGGAAAAAAAAGGCAGAAAAGTATTTTTTAGCTTAGTCCCCTGCCTAGATAGGACGAAATTCAAATTCACCGCAAAGCATATATACATATATTTGCTTCAATCATGATTATTCCTTCGCTACTGGCGGTATGAACGTTGTTCGAGAGAGTTTTTTTTTTTCAAAAAATAAGTAGGAAAGCCACAAGAAAAAACTTTTTCACTTTCTTTCTTCAGTTTGTCACTACATTTAAGGTGCTCGTAAATTCTATCTGAATTACGTATATGGTATGATTTACAGCGAACATCCTACGATTTCGAAGAATTTTCTGTAGGGTAATGTTTACACTCTGAAACTCATTCATTCGCGTCGGAGCCTATCAAAACTAAAACTGGGCTACGAAATAAAATCACAACAGAGTCTCAAAAAAGCAAGTCTAAAAGTATTCCACCCCCCTTTCCTTTACCAGGTTTATTATGGTACCTGGTGAATTCGCCCCATTGCAAGCTCGCTCTCAATCACCCTTGAGAGTTTGTCCCTAATTTTAAACAAGTTCACCCCACCATCAAGCAGTTCGCCCCCACATCATTCTTCTCATTCTTGCTAGTTAATCGAACCTTCTTATAGTTTCATTGTTAAAATTGCGTGTTAGTCGCAAAAATGATTTCAGCAGGGAATTAATTCGTTCTGTGGCAGGGACACGAGTGGAAAGGTTTTGGGGCGAACTGATCAAGGTGGTGCGAACTTGTTTTACACTAAGGGGAGCAACTTGCTTTGGGCAAATTAACCATAAACCCCCTTGACTGTTAAGGCGGCGAACAACCAGGGTCCGATCCTGCCGGCTCCAAGTTATGCTTCCCTTTGTTTCTCATTGTCACGCTTTCTCTGGAATTGAAAATCTTTAAAAAAAAATTTCACTTGGGTCTTTCTAAGTGTACTTCATGATACTAGTATAACAATCACAAACAATACAAAACCAACATAAAGAAACGTGCTATAGTGATTTTGAACGTCAGCGTTAGGGTCCTTTAGTCCCCAGTCCTCGTAACGGCGCGGTTGGCAATAGTCCAGCCTTAATCCGCGATGCAGCTTTCCCTTGGCCAGCGCCATGCATACCTGGCAAAAAAGCGGGTGCCGCGGTTTCCACCAACGACCAATAGTTGTGTTTAAAATGTTTCCTAGTCCCTTCCATTTCCATTCTAGATACTTATTATACGCAGTCTCGTTATTACTGAGATATTTAAGATACTTTGCTAATTCTTTAGGGCTTTTAAAATCGCTAACTTTGATAATAGAGTTCTTGAGATTTCCAGGTAAAAACTCGTCCACTTTGTCAGTGCCCATGAAAATTGGTACCGAGCCGGTTGTGAGAGCATGGTAAAGTCTGTCGTCTATAAAGTAATCACAGTCTTGATTCATGAAAACCAAAGAGAACTTGTAATGCCTCGTTAGAACAAGCTTGTGATCTTTGAAGACATATTTGTTATTGATTTTCCCGTACAATCCTATAAGTCCCTCTTTGTTCTTGAGGCATGCGCCGTAAGAGTCCACTTGGATATATTTCATGAGTTGCCGCATGTATTCTGTTCGAACGGGTTCACACTTAGAAAAGATGGCGAGAATATCTCCCTGTCGCTTTTGAAATGGTATAGGGGGATCTAATCCAGGCATGGGATAGATCGGAGCAGGAAAATCCGAGTCCAGACGATAGCTTATAAGCAGATTGAACTGCGACATAATGCGCGCATTATACAGTGTCGGTGTGTATACAGGATTTTCATTAGTTTGAAGAATCCACGGAGCTAAATTTTCAATCGGTGGAAGATTCGAAATATCCGGTGGTCTAGCGTGAACAACAAACGCACTAGCTTCAGCAGCGCGTGATTGGTCGCTGGACAGCTCACACGGTACGGGGCATTCCCCAGGTTGACCCGCGTAAAAAAACGGCCAGTAATTTGTATGATTCACGCCACTCTTTTGAACGGGAACCTTGTGTCCCCTAACTCCCGACCAGTAAATTATCAATCGTTTTCGCTGCCTCTTAGGAAAGTCTTCTTTCTTCCACTTGACTAAGTTATTCCAAACCGGCGGAAGAACCGGTGTTTCACCTCCACCTGTTTGCACACGGGCAGGTTTTCGAGTTCTTGCTGTTTCTTCCTTGTAAAACTGAATCACAAACAACATGGTCCTCAAAGATACCAAGAAAAAACACCCTAGTATAAGCGATCTCCGTTTCGAGGTCGGTCTCAACCACACCATCATCTTCGCTCCGATAGCTCTTCCCAGCCGCTGTGTTTAATTTCTTCAAAACGCGTTCACCGACTTTCAACTCGTTCCTCCCTGTGCTGTGAAAGCGAGGCTGGTGGCACGCAATCAAGCGATAAACAAGCATTCCGTAGCAGTGAGATCATTCTCTGTCAAGCTGTTATTTGCTCTGAACTGTATGATGAGGGGAAATAAAGAAATTAATCACTACATGTCCGTTTACCTTAAAGGAAACTCCTTCCCCCGCGGGGGGGGGGGGGGGGGGGCAAAGGGTCTTTAGAAAACTGAAATGGGATTTAAACTAGAGAAAATAAATTGTGGACGCGCAAACCAGCCTGGCATAAAACAGACAAATTAGTTTTTAAGTTTTTCGCTTCAATAAGTGAACTCTAGATAAACAATAGTGTGCATCTGTCGGAACACAGATGTCGGATCAATCACAACAGGACACTTGAATGTTGCTATTTTTCTTAGACGGTTCCACTGCTCTGCAAATAAAACCTCACGAAAACAGTCAGCCGATGCCTTTTCCTTAAAATGACCCTTTTCGTTGCCCAA